CTGTATAGCCAATACATCCATAAATTCCCGTTTCATGTACGAGACAGCGATAACAAATGCTTAAGACGATCTTAAGGATAAGCAACGACTCTAATACCGGCCTATGACTCGAAACGATAGTCCTGGTCACTATGAAATTAATTGTGCAAGTACTTACGTTAAATTGAACATTGCGAAATTTTTGGAAAGGCGCGAAGCGTTATTAGCGTTAAGGCGTGAGAGGGAGGAAGAGCGATACGAGCAAACAGGGTGGCATGGAAAATGATTTGTCCCGAAGTTATCTTCCGAGGATTGCGCGACGCAAGTGAGAATCGGTCGTCGCACCATATCTGTTGGATTCGTTGATCCGATCCGACGCGCATCGTGACACGATATCAGCGTGTCGGCAAGTCGGGACATCGAAACGGCTAATTCGAACCGGTGATCGACAGTATTTAGGCAGTATTTAGGGTTTCGAGGATATCGAGTCGAGAAGGATATCTGGAAAGTTGGTGTCGTCGTATCATCTGGCAGATCGAAGAACAGCGAGTGAGCGATGGACAATCAACGAGATAAGGTTCAAGACGATGACGAAGATCCACTTCTGGATCTACACAGAGAATACTTAGACGCTGAGTCCTCGGACGAAGAGGAGGCAAAGAAACAACGTAAGATTCATGCGTGGGAAATAAGACAGTACGAGGCATGGAAGATTCGCTCAAGGAACTTTATTTCTTATTATAATTTTGTACAGTGCGACGGGTGCGACCCTTCCGCTCCCGAATCGACCCTCTCTCTCCTCTTTCCTCGCACTACGCCCATATACGCGTACATACCTACCTATTTCCCGTGATGCACTATTCAATCGATGTACTTATCATCGATGTGCCTGTTCGGCAAATATATTTTCGCGTAGATACTTCATGTTCTTCGGATCGACTTCGGTCGCCCTTGTACGTAAATTATTAGATGAATGCGTAGCGGGCACGTGAAAGTGTGTGCGTTTCGCAGGAAAGGAAGTAGACGAGATCGAAGAGGAACTCGGACCGACCTACGATGAACAGGAATTGTCGGACCTGGTCAGTGTCGAACGAACATCGTGGTCAGACAAAAAGGCAAAAAAGAGAAAAAAAACGAAGACTGCTTATCCCCGTTCCGTTTGTTAGGTAAACTGCGTGAAAGATATGACGACTTTAGGCGGATTATCCGAGGACGATTGGAGTTACTACGTCAAGATGACGATACGGGAGTTTATCACGAGTCCGAACACAATTACCACTCTCACTCTATATTGGTTGCACGACCGGCTGACCGCCTCCCTGTCGTTTCCCTTGATCCCTGTATACGAACTGTGTTACTTCGTGAGAGAGCCGCGCGAGATTCTGCGGATGGAGACGTTCCGCGATCATATCCTGTTCGGAACGATCAACGACAAGGTGGAGTACCACCTACTCTCGACGATGCGAAACGTTTTAGCCCCGGTTTTTCTCAAGATCGACACTTGGCCTGACAGTATCCTTCCCTTCTCTTGCGGACACTGCGATCCACCGTCCACCAAATGCCTCCGCAGCTGCGTCACGCAAACGCGTGGGGTTTCTTAACTAGCTTTGGTGGATCGTGTATCGCGACCTTCGTTCTACCACCGTGCACTGTACCACGTGATACCGATCATAGTGGTAGCAGCAGTGGTAGAACGATATCCCGAATCTCGAGTCCGTTCAATCGTGCCTTCGTTCCTTGACCGGAGACAACATGCGTCAAGGCTGAATTCTACACGAACATGGATACCTTCTTGTGCAACTTGACGGATCTCGCGTATAAAATGTTGGGCTTGACGGTGATATATGTGCCGCGGGAGGGAAGCGATCTGATGAGCGACGAAGCGAAAGCCGACAAGGAATTGATCAAGAGATTGGAGGTCGTCGTGGCACACTGGACCACTCAAATCAGGATAGCCCTCTCCGATCAGGAACAAGCAACGCCGAACGAATTACTCTGCCTGAAGGACGAATATGACTTCTGGCTGTATCGCTGTTAGTACCGTTTCCTTTCTCTCTCTCTCTCTCTCTCCCACTTTATCCATTAATTCGTGGTCACGCTGTATGTACGACACGCGTACGCCGATGTCTAATCTCATCGTGCGCAGATGACAATCTCTGCGGTCTGGACTATCAGCTTCAAAACGCTACGGTGAAGAGGATTGCGGACTTCCTCTCGGCGAGTCATTCGACGTACGTCAGGCAGTTCATCTCGTTGAAGGACGAGATCGAGGACGGGGTGAAAGAAGCTAGATCGAACATCGAATATCTTCGAATTCTGGTGGAACCCTCCGCGAAGTTGAGCGAATGCGTCGAACCCTCGAGCATCGACCGACACCTGATGTCGATCATTCACCTGTTCAGGACGATTTGGCTCAATTCGCCTTACTACAATGTCCAAGAGAGAATCGAAAATCTGTTTAAGGCGCTCAGTAATCAGATCATCATTCTATGTCGCAATTACATCGACTTTAAAGAAGTATTCGCTGGAAAAGCCAGGCAATCTATGGAGAAGTTGCAGGAATGCGTGACCGCTTGCGTAAATTACAAATCGCTCTACGACAATGTACGACAGTGAACTCTTTATTCTTACACGTCCCCCTTCTCTCATTCTCTCTATGCGTAGTACGTAATTGTTGGTCGTCGTTGTCCAGATTGCTCAGGCTCACAACAGCCTGACGAACGTACCGTGGGACTTAAACAGAGACAACGTGTTCCAGTACATCAATATTTTCATCGGCAGATGCCAGGACATGATCGAGATTTGTCAAGCAATGATCGACTTTGCGAGGTTCGTTTGACCGAGTTTCAGCCGATTCGCGCGAGTACATCGTCGTATCACACGTACGCGTGCTCGACAGAATGGACGAGACGACGGAGGTGTTCAAACCGATGTTCAGTGGGACAAAGGGAGAGGAACGGGAGCGAGTGTGCCAGAAGATTGAGAGGCTGTTTCACGAAGCATTGGCGGAGATTCGGTACAACCATCAGAGGATCTTGGACGTGCATTACGGCGCGTGGCACGACGACGTGTTCAACTTCCGTACCGAGATGAAGGATCTGGAGGTGATAGTCGAGAATCTGGTCGCGTCCGTTTTCGTCGGTATGAACAACGTGCAGGAAGGAATCGAAGATCTTCAAGGATTGTATCCTTACATGAATCGCGAAAAACTGAAATCTTTGTTCGACGGTAAAACCGCTGAGGTACGAGCTCTCTTTCCGCGCGGGGTGGTTCTCGTAGTTGTAAGGATAAGGGTACCAAATGGTGGGACAGAGAGAGAAAGAATGTACATACGAAGGTGCGTGTGTAGATTTGGAAGCTGTTCAGCGAGGACATCAAACGTACGAAGCAGGAAGTACTCGACGAAAGGGAGAACTATCCTTCGATGACGCCATATTACGCAGGAAGGGCGTTGAACCTTCGCTCGAAAGGCGCGCGCCTGCAATCGGCGAGGGAGGTGCTCGAGAGGGCGATATGGATGCCGTATTGTCCCCTCAGCGTCGAGATCTTCCATCAGCACGATCTCTTGAAGAGATCCATTGAGGATCTGGTCACCGACTTGCACAGTAGATGGGTTCGCGAGGTCGGCGATAATCCGCGAGCGAAACTCGATCGTTCCTTGATGCGGCGAAGCGACTCGAAAGAGGGGTTTCTCGAGTGCAACATCGACGCGGCTATTCTGAATTTGTGTCGCGAAGCCGCTTATTGGATCACTCTGAAATTCTCCATACCCGTTCAGGTGAAAATCGTCTACGACAAGTGGGAAAATCTTCATTTTGTCTATGAAAGCGTTCTCGCCGTGGTGATTGGCTATAACAAAGTGGTCAGAGGTAATAAGCGACGCGGTGACTCGGTGATCCGCGTGCGTGCTACTTCGCTGCGCTCGTCCATGTTGCAGCGTTGGCGATGGCCGAGCGAGAGCTGTTCCGCGAGCTGATTCAGCAGCTGGACAGGAAGATAAATCCGGGTTTAAGCAAGCTGACGTGGAACACGGAATACGTAGACGCCTACATTGAGGATTGCTTCAACCAAACTGCAAACGTGCGTCACTTCGACCTACCTTCCTACCTTCTTCTTTCTCTCTCTCTGCTGTTCTCTCTCGCCCATTTTGAAATTGACGACGGAGAACTCGGGTTCATTTCGCAATGAATACGTTGCCGCGCCTCTATCAGCTTCAGGAATTTGTGGACGTCTACAAGGAATCGATTCATCAGATCGTATCGATCTGTGAGAGAATCTGCGACACGCCGATGATAAAAATCAAACCGAATTACACGTACAGATTGAACGAGTTGCAAGACGAATTGGTCAAAGTCAGGTAGATATCGCCGTTGCAAGTATACAATGTATGTACGTACGAGTACATGGATCGTATTCGCGTACGACATTTCAGGGACGAGACCTTCGAACTTCTATTGGATTATCACAGGACGGTCTTCCAGTACGTGATGGTCATTTACGATGGAGTGAAAGACGTTATTCGTGAAGTACGCGAATGCGCTTAACTTACAATTGGCCATCTAGCCGCGTAGCGAGATATCCATTTACGACTACCCTTGTGTTTCAGAGTTTGCAAGCGTGGAAAGTCTTTCTGAGCCGAATGGACGTTTTGATAGGCGAGGCTTACAAGATGTGTCTGATAGAATCTATGCAAGCCATGTACACTGCTCTGCACGGGGATGGTACCACGCCGCCGTCGCCGCTGATTTTGGTCCACGTGGAACTCATCGATAATAAAGCATGTAGTACACGTCTAGACGCTTGGACGCATTTTTTATTTACTTTCTTCCCTCTTTCCTTCTCCTTCCGAACACGTATGTCCGATCTAGATCAAATTCGTTCCGGATCTGGCGAACATCGCGATGGAAACATCTGTGCTGTTCGATAATCTGTTGGAACCACTGAAGAGAGTGACTCGGTTGATAAATAAGTTCAAGTTCGATATCCCGATCCTTCCTTTTTGGAAAACGTACGAGAAGGATTCCGAGTTGCTCGACCTTCAACAGAAGCTAAACGACGGTCAATTTGAACGCGTACTCGCGCGCGTGTCGTTTCGCGCACCGGTCTAACTTCGATCTATTTCTACCGTTTTAGAAGTGAACTATTGTTTCGTTCAGGTGCAAAATTATCTGAAGAGCTGGGAACCGTTCCAGGAAATATGGGAAATGAACAGGGAAATGTATCTTCAGAGGTAAAAGGGGGCGAGAGCGACAATACGTTGCGCAAATATATTGATAAGTTGTCAAGTAACGCGACGAGAGAACGAAGAATCGATGTTTGCGTTTATCAGATACGAGAAATTGAAACCTACTGCGGCGACGTTCGACTCGGACATCAGCAGGTACACGATCATCGCGAATAACGTTCAGATGCAAGAAACGGTGATGACCGTACACTTCCTCGACGTGAACGCCGACGGCCTAAAGGGGGCCATTATCGAACAGTGTTCCGTTTGGCAGCAAAAACTGATCGGTGTTCTGCTCCGACAGACTCAGAACATGGTCAATCACGTGTATCATTATATCGCGGACAATTCGAAAAAGTAAGCGGAGGTCGATCGGTGGTCGCGAACATCCGAATCTGAACCTATCGTTTGCGTATAGAATAACGAAGGAGCCGACGGACCTGATCGGCATGCAATACCTGATGCAATTGTTCGACAAACTGATTAACGACGTTCCTCGACAGGAAGAGGAATTCCCAAAGATCCAAGAGCAATATCAGACTTTGGGTGAGCCGGTTCAGATCCCATAGACGACTTCGCGAAAGTGTGCACGCGTTATAAACGACTAATAATCGCGTTCGCAGAGAAATACGAAGTGAGTCTGACGTTCGACTTCAAACGGAAGGTGCACGACATAGATCCTTCCTGGGCCGCGTATCTGGAACTGTTGGAGGAATGCGAGGGCATGTTGAAAGAGAAAAAGGTAGCTATTTTCTACCTGTCGAATGAGTCGTTCGGTCGTCGATATCGTTACAGGTTGCGAACACGTTTTTTCGCGTGTTTTTCTAGGAAGAATTCAAACAAGTCTTGTTGGAAGACGTGATAATGTTCCAAGACGAAGTGACCGCTCTGGTGGGGAAATTTTGGGACACCGGCCCATTCACTTCCGAATGGGAACCGAAAGGTTGGTTGTGATATCGTGGTCATACGTATATGTACATACGTCTGTCCGTGACGTAGGCGCGTTCGCCTGGTTGGAGTACCTGGAGCGGGAAGCGTCAGCGTTGAGAAGAAGAGAAAGCAAGTTGAAGTCGCAGCTGGGGATGTTCGGCATCAACCAGCCGGATTCTTTTGAGTTGATGCAATTGGATCAGGTTCGCGACGACGAATCATCTCCTTCACCGGGGTGCAAAACGAACGTTAGTCATTCATACGTTTCTCGGCTCAGGACACAAAAGCCATCGAGCTGGTGTGGCAGATCACGAACGAATGGAACGAGGCGTGGGAGAGATACCGAACGGAAAACTTTTGGGACATCGAAATGGAAGAGATGGAGACCACCGCGAACGTCCTGTTCAGAAGGTTGAATCGTCTCAGCAGAGAATTGAAGGAGAAGAATTGGGAGATCGTTGAGCATTCGAGGGGGCGAGTGGACAGATTCAGGCGCACTCTTCCGTTGATCACGGACCTGAAGAACCCGGCGATGAGGCCCCGGCATTGGAATAAAGTGAAGGAAGTCGTGGACCGAGAATTCGACGAAACATCGGCCGATTTTACTTTGGATGCCATCGCGGAGATGCAGCTTCAAAATTACGCCGAGCAGATCAGCGACATCTCCAATTCGGCCACAATGGAATTAGCTATCGAAGCTGTGAGCGTACAACATGAATATACATACGTTATCTGCTCGTGCTTCGTTCGTATGACTCGTCCGTCGAATTCTAAATAATTTCTATCGTGAACAAATAGGGCCTGAAGGCGATCGCCGATATCTGGGAAACTATGCCGTTGGAAATGATTCCTTACAAGGACAGAGGAATATACAAGATGAAGAGTATCGACGCTATAGTGCAATGTTTGGAGGAGCATCAGGTTCAATTGTCGGCGATGAAAGCAACGAGGTGAGATCGCGAAGGCAGCAAATCGCAGACGAGATGGAACGAGACGAGTTGCAGGTTCGTCGAGCCGTTCGCGGAAGAAGTCGATCACTGGGAACGTTCACTGTCCACCGTAGGGGAGGTTCTCGAGACGACTCTGGTGATCCAACGGGGCTACATGTACATGGACAATATATTCACCACGGAAGATATTCGGAAGCAGCTGCCCAAGGAGACCGACGACTACGACAAATTAACGACGCTCTGGACTCGAATCACGTCGCGGATGGCGTCCTTCGGTCTGGCGCTTCCGGCCACACACAATCCACGTTCGTATTCGTTCTCGCTCCCAAGATTCACGTCTTTCTCGCAAATTTCCTCATTTGCGAACGAACGTAACGTTTGATCGGTGATCGCCCGCGTAGCCGGACTGTTGGAAGTGTTGAACAAGATCAGCGATCAGCTCGAGTTGATGCAACGAGCTCTGGAAGAGTATCTTGAAACAAAACGGCACGTCTTCCCGAGATTCTATTTCGTCTCGAACGACGATCTTCTCGAGATACTCGCGAACGCAAAGAGACCAGAACTGATACAACCGCATATCAAGAAACTGTTCGAATACCTAAAGTTTCTCACCCTCGGCAAGGTACCTACCGCCTTGCGATTCTTCTTTCTTTTCTAGTCTTTTCACAACATTGTCACGAGTCTCTGATTCGTTTCCAACTTTCTGGTCCCAGACTCTGGCTGGAAAGCAATTAGCGACCGCGATGAACTCGAACGAAGGGGAATGCGTCGACTTCAGCGAAACCGTTACGCTCGAGGGCCAAGTGGAAAAATGGCTCTGCAACGTCGGTTAGATCTGATCCGGTTCTTTTATTCTCCTACTCATCGTTAGATTAATAGAAATTTCGAATCGAGCATAGAAATAGATCAATGAAGAAGAATTTGGTAGCGTCGGAAGTATTTACAAGTAGATCGTAACGAACTCGTTGCAGAGACCGCGATGAGAACCAGCCTGCGCGAAGTATTGAGGCACTGTCGAACTGCGTTGCGAAAAATGATCATGAGACGCGACAGATGGGTGAAGGAGTGGCCCGGTCAGTCGGGCATCGCATCGACTCAGATACAATGGACGGCGGATTGCACTCGTACTTTGTTACACTGCAAGTAAGCTCGTTTCATACGTTCATACATACGTCCGATAGCGATACTTGTCGCGATCGTTGAGCGTGAACCGAAACGAGAATCGTTCGCATATAGGATGGTAGATTCGAGGAAGCCGCTGAAGAAATTACGGAAACGGCAGAATCAGGCGCTGAGCAGGTACACGGATGCGATCCGGAGCGAGCTGAGTAATTTGGATCGATCGAAATTCAAAGGTATCGCGGTGATCGAGATCCACGCCAGGGACGTCATAGAGAGGATGTATCGAGCGCGTAAGACGTGTTCGGTCAAACGGTGCATCGAGCTGCATCGCGTTCCTCTTCCGCAGAACACGCGTTTCAGTTTCCACGTTTCTCAGATTGCAAAGACGTCTCGTCCTTCGAATGGCTGTCGCAACTACGTTTCTACTGGGACAAAGACATCGACGATTGCATCGTTTGGCAGACGAACACGTATTTCGTCTACGGGTACGAGTATCTCGGGAACACGGGTCGATTGGTGATAACTCCGCTGACGGACAGGTAACGTCGGAAGTATCGCGCGACGACACATTTCGTAAGTGAATTAAGCGTCCAGTGGTGGTTGATTCGACAACCCCTCCGTAGGTGTTATATAACGCTGACGACGGCCCTTCATCTGTATCGAGGAGGCAGCCCGAAAGGACCGGCCGGTACAGGGAAGACCGAGACGGTAAAAGATCTCGGTAAGGCTCTAGGATTCAATGTGATCGTTCAAAACTGTTCCGAGGGACTCGATTACAAGAGCATGGGCAGATTGTTCTCCGGCCTCGCGCAGACCGGCGCGTGGGGTTGCTTCGACGAGTTCAATCGGTAAATGAACAAACCGACAGACGAAGACAAATGGCTTCTAATTCGATTTGAAATATTTCAACGACAGGATAAACGTCGAAGTATTGTCAGTGGTGGCTCAACAGATACTCTCGATACTGACCGCCCTCTCACAGAAATTCACCAGATTCGTGTTCGAGGGCGTCGAAATATCGCTGGTGCACACTTGCGGCATTTTTATCACGATGAATCCGGGTTACGCCGGCCGGACCGAGCTTCCCGATAATCTGAAGTCGATGTTCAGGCCCATCTCGATGATGGTACCGGACAGTAGCATGATCGCTGAGATCAATTTGTTCTGCGAGGGTTTCGAACAGACGCGTGTTCTCGCCAGAAAGGTTTTCCCTCCCGCGTGCTAATTTTATGTGCCACACGCATCGCGTCTTCAACAATTCTCCCCGCAGGTCTTCACGTTGTACACGCTGGCTCAGCAACAGTTGAGCAAACAGTATCATTACGACTTCGGTTTGAGAGGCATAGTGACCTTGACCAGATACGCGGGAAGGAAGAAGAGAGCGTATCCGGATCTACCGGACGAAGAGGTACGTTTCTTTCCCTCGTTTCGAGTCAGTCCTCCTCACCAAAGGTAATGAGCGCGCGTAACCGACCGAACATAGGTAATCATCCTCGCTATGAAGGATATGAACATCGCCAAACTCACGTCAGACGATCTGCCGCTGTTCCTCGGTATCACCGGCGATCTCTTCCCAGACGTAGAAGTGCCGTCGGTGGATTATGACGAAATCATCGGTTATATAAGTAAGGAAGCCATCAAAGCGAAGTTACAGGTAATTGCAAGCTCGATCTCCGATGTTACGCGCGGAAACGAACGAACGGCGTAACATACACGTCCGGCACTTTTCTTATCCTCTTTTAGCCCATACCCCTGATATTGACGAAAGTCATCCAATTGTACGAGACGATGAATTCGAGACACTCGACGATGCTGGTAGGCGAGTCGAACACCGCGAAAACGGTTACGTGGAAAATATTACAGAATACGATGACGAGTATGAGAAACGACAGGAAGCCGGGTTACACCGCAGTCCACGTCTACCCGATCAATCCGAAGGCTTTGAGCCTCGCCGAACTCTACGGAGAGTATAATCTCATCACCGGCGAATGGCACGACGGCGTCATATCCATGATCATGAGAAAGACCTGTTCCGGTATCGCTCACATCGCTTCTCGCGCGTCGCTTTTCTATCTTCGTAGTCGTTCTGTTGTTCGTCATTCGTATCTCATCGTATTTCTGCAGACGAAAGCCCCGACACGAAATGGATCCTCTTCGACGGGCCGGTGGACGCGGACTGGATCGAGAACATGAACAGCGTGATGGACGATAACAAGGTATGTATCTGTGTATGTGTTCGCGTCGTGTACTTCTGCGGTCTAGATGTCGGTAGAACGACGACGACGACGGCTACGACCGCAACGGTGTCTGCAACGGTGCCCGCGGTCGTATGTAGGTGAACGTGGTCAGATACGATGACGAACGGTGTGACAGGTTTTGACGCTGATAAACAACGATCGCATCTCGATGCCCGACCAAGTGTCCCTGTTATTCGAGGTCCAGGATCTGGCGGTCGCTTCCCCGGCCACGGTTTCCCGAGCCGGTATGGTTTACAACGATTACAAGGACCTCGGTTGGAACCCTTACGTGAACAGTTGGCTGCAGAAGTATCAGCAAGGAAAGGAATTTGCCGAAGAGGTGAATTCTCCTGTACTTTTTTAAGCGCTTCGCGAATACTGCGCTCGGTTCGCGGTATGCGTCTCGCAGCAGATCAGAAAGTCGTCTACAATGTTCGACAGATGATGAAATTGTTCGACGAACACGTGGACGCCACTCTCAATTTTAAGCGACGAAAGTGTGAAGAACTGATCCCAGTTCCTGAGCTGAACGCCGTTCAATCGCTGTGCAAGCTCCTCGAAGTGCTTGCCATTCCGGAGAACGGAGTAGAATTTACGGGAGACACGGACATGTTCGCTAATATTTGCAGGATATGGTTCTTCTTTTGGTACGCGGTCTCCATTCACAGCGATGACGCGAGCTTCATTCAAATCGGATTGACTCCCGAGGTACAACAACTTGCATTATTCCCTTAGCGTGATATGGTCGATCTGCGCGTCCGTCAACGAGGAGGGACGATTTAGGGTGGACAATTTCATTCGAGAGCTCGAGGGCAGTTTCCCATTGAGGGACACGGTGTATGAATACTTCGTGGACTCTCGACTTCGAGCGTACGTCTCTTGGGAAGAAAAATTACCTTCGGTCTGGAAGATTCAATCTGGGTACCTGTCCTATTTCGTGACGAAAACCGCGAATCATTTTCGATTCTACTTCTTGCTTCCGAAATCCGGCAGAACCCCGTTCTACAAAATAGTGGTACCAACTGTGGATACCGTTCGATACGAGTACATCGTCGGCTCTCTGCTGAAACATCGGTTCCCGGTGCTCCTGTTGGGTCCGGTGGGCACGGGAAAGACGTCGGTGCTTCGATCGGTGCTCGATTCACTTGATGAGACCAAATACAGCGTGTTGACTCTGAACATGTCCGCTCAAACGACCTCAAAGAAAGTGAGCGCGAACCTCTCGTGACTTGCTGCCGGTCTGATAATAACTCAGACGATGGTAGATCGCGAAACGTGATACGTGAACGATGTTCGGCGAAATTCGTTTCAGGACTCGGTGGAGAGCAGACTCGAGAAACGCACCAAAGGCGTCTACATCCCCGTGGGTGGTAAAGTTCTGATCGCATTTATGGACGATTTTAATATGCCGATGAAAGAGACGTACGGATCTCAACCACCTTTGGAGTTGGTTCGACAACTGATTGGATACGGATTCTGGTACGCGTCGTTTCGTTACTCGCGCGTATCGCATTCTGATCTTCGCACCGTAACGAATTCCCGATAGGTACGATCGGCACAAGCAAACGCAAAAGTTCATACAAAGATTGCAACTAATGGCGGCGATGGGCCCACCGGGTGGAGGTCGAAACGTGATCACCAATCGATTGCTGACCAAGTTCAACGTCGTTAACATGACGTTCCCTGCCGAGAAACAGATCATTAGGATATACGGGACGATGCTGAATCAACACATCGGCGATTTCCACGCGGAAGTCAAGGGAATAGGTTCGTCGACGTTTGTTCCAAACATCAAATCATTGAATAATGCCTTTTCGATCAGCTCAAGAAATAACGCTGTCCACCATCGGACTGTACAACAACGTGGTTCACAAGATGCTGCCGACACCGGCCAAGATGCATTATCTGTTCAACCTGAGAGACATATCGAAGGTAACAGACCGCTCGAGCGTACGAGCGTCGAAGCAACGACTCTACGGTTCGTTCTCGCGATGCAGGTGTTCCAAGGTCTGCTGCGTGGTCACAAGGATTATCAGTTCTCCAGGCAGACGTTCCTTCGGCTATGGATCCACGAAGCGTTCCGAGTGTTCAGTGATCGGCTGATAGACGAAAAGTACGAAGATGAAAGTGAAAATGAAAAGAAAATGCGACTAAGCGATGTGCACGTTTTACAGGGACAGGGAATGGTTTGTGGATCGAATCAACGAGCAACTTGGAAAACAGTTCGAATCGACGTTCGCTACCATTTGTCCGGAGAAGAGGAGCCCCTTGTTCGGTGGGTACTCGATTAGCTTACAGTGTACACACAGTTGAACTCGAACTGAACTCGCACGGATAGTTTCGATCTCGATTCACGACGATCGCAGGTAGTTTCATGAACGTCTGGGACATATACGAGGATCTGTTGGACATTGCGGCCGTGAGGACTCACATAGAAAAGCAACTGGACGAGTACAATACCTCCACTGGCGTCGTTCGAATGAAACTGATTCTGTTCCGATACGCGATCGAGCACATTTGCCGCATCGTTCGCGTCATTTCTCAGGTCAGCGATCGTTTCCAACCCCATCAGTACGTGACACGTGCTGTTCGTGCCTTTCGGCGTTCTCGAACGGAACGTTGCAATGCGCGAACGGACAAAACACCGGGACCGGACTTACGTCTCATCCTATTCGCGTCGACAGCCGCGCGGAAACATGTTGCTGATAGGCATCGGTGGAAGCGGAAGGCAGTCGCTGTCCCGTATCGCTAGCTACATGTGCGAGCTTGGCATCTTTCAAATTTCGATCACGAAGAATTACAAGATGCCCGAATTTCGCGAGGACCTGAAATCGTTGTACCTGAAAACGGGCGTCGACAACAAACCTACGACTTTTCTGTTCGACGATACGCAGGTGGTCGAGGAGCAATTTCTAGAGATCGTAAACAACATATTAAGCACGGGGGAGGTGGCGAATCTGTACAAACCCGACGAGATGGAAGAGGTGAGAGTTTCGTGTTTCGCGTCACACGCGTTACCAGGTACCACGCGTAACGTATGTACTTGACCCGCCGTCGTTACGTTTCGGGTCGCGTGGGTCCCTCGGACAGATCAAGAAGAAATTGACGAAAGAGGTGATGCGTGCTGGACGAATACCGACTTCGGAGGCGATCTACTCGTGGGTGATCGAGCGAACGCGTTCCAATATGCATTTGGTGGTGAGCATGAGCCCAATCGGAGACGCGTTCAGAAACAGATTGCGCCAGTATCCGGGATTGATCAATTGTACGACGATCGATTGGTTCTTGGAATGGCCGAGGGAAGCCCTTCTCGAAGTTGGTAACAAATTCCTCGCGGACCTCCCTCTGACGCTTATCATCACCGGCGAGAGCAAACCGGTTGGCTGCCAATTAGATTTTCTGTTTGGTCTTCTCCCGTTTCGATTCCCCTTGAACTTTGTTCCCTTCGCAGGAGCCACGGCAATCGGCGGCTGGCGTGCCTCTGCCACCGCTGCAGGAACGGATGCGAGACGCAATCGCGGCTACGTTCTCCTCGATCCACGAGACGGTTTCGCGATTCTCGAGCAGAATGGCCGCGGAGATGAAGCGGTATAATTACGTGACGCCGGTCAACTTCCTCGAACTGGTCGCCGGTTACAAAACGTGGGTAGTACACTGTGGCGAGCGATCTTTCTATATGTATCTAGACTCTCTATCCGTGTCTATTTGTACACCGAGAATGAGATTCGCGTTTCAGAATGCTGCTGGAGAAACGGACGGAATTAGCGCAGCAAGCGAACAAACTGCGGAACGGTCTCTCGAAGATCGACGACACTCGGGTCAAAGTGAACGAAATGGCCGCAGAACTGGAAGTAACACAGGAACAAGTTCACAAGTCTACGAGGGAATGCGAAGAATTTCTGGTTACGATAGGTAGGTGAAGTCGCGGGGGTGCGACGCGACGACGAATCCGCGTACATGTTCATATGCGTCACAGTGAACCAGCGTCGCGACGCGGATGAAACGCAGAAATCGGTAGCTGCGCGATCTGAGAAAATTACGGAGGAACAAAAAGAATGCAAGAAGCTCGAAGAACTAGCCCGAGCCGATCTCGCGACCGTCGAACCGGCTTTGAACGAAGCTATGAAGGTCTGTATCCCGACGTTCGCTACTTCGATTCTTGACGATACATTATTACGCGACGAGACGACGATACCAAAGTTCTGAAATGACGACGCGCGGCGCCTACAGGCCTTGGACGCGCTCAGTAAAAAGGATATTTCGGAGATACGGTCGTTCACGCGCCCACCACCGAAGGTTGAGATGGTAATGGAGGCGATAATGATCTTGAAGAATTCCGAACCGAGCTGGGCGGAATCGAAACGTCAGCTCGCCGACGTCAACTTTTTGCTCACGGTACGTTACGTGCGGCTACAAGCCGTACAGTAGCTGCCAGTTGCATGTTGTCCGTTCTCATTCCTTCAGCTGCGAGACTTCGACAAGGACAATATCTCCGACAGAACACTACGAGCCATCTCTAAGTACACGTCTAACCCGGAATTCGACCCGGAGAAGGTCGGCGTAGTATCGGTCGCAGCCAAGTCTCTGTGCATGTGGGTCGTCGCCATGGAAAAATATGGGAAGCTGTACAGGTGACTCTCACGCTTCTTCTCGTACTTCCGCGCGAAGGTACATCCCGGCAAAAAGAGCGACGACGAGACGATCGAATCGTTCCAGAGTCGTCGCGCCGAAGAGAGAGAAATTGAACGCGGCACTGGCCTCCCTCAAACAGAAAGAGCAGGCGTTGAGCGATGCGATGACGCAGTTGCAGCGACTGGAGCAGAGACTACTGGAGTTGCAGGAGATGTACGACGGCAAGATGAAGGAAAAAGAAGAATTGATCAAATTGGTTGGTTCCCCTTTCCGTTTCGTAGTAGGAGATACTCTTCTGCGTTTTGCCACGTGCCAACCGCCTGTCGAACACGGAAAAGCTCGGTTCGTACGTTTTTACAGGCGGAACTGTTGAAACTGAAATTAGAGCGAGCCGCAATGCTGGTCGACGGTCTTTCCGACGAACGGATTCGATGGGAGAAGACGGTCGGATCATTGGGCACGCTCTACGAGTTGCTACCGGGCGATTGTTTGATAGCCACCGCTTTTATCTCTTATCTGGGTCCGTTCGTGTCCAAGTACAGAGAGGAGCTGATAAGCATCTGGACGAAAGAGGCGAGACAATTTCTAATTACTACGCGAGTCGCGAATTATACTGTTCGTTCGATACGTAAACGATCCGCGGCCATTGGCCGTTTCGAAGGTGAACGAGAGAGAAATACCAATGTCGCCCGATTTGAACGTGAAAGAATTCTTGGTCGATCCGGCGATCATCAGAGATTGGACTATGCAGGGTTTGCCGTCTGACGATTTCAGCATGGAAAACGGGATAATCGTGACCAGAGGAACCAGATGGCCGTTGGTGATCGATCCCCAGTGTCAAGCGGTGAAATGGATAAAAACTATGGAAGCTGAAAACGTATGTGCATACACGGGTTTTCCTGTCCTCGCGTCGCGTCGTCGTCGTGAAGCGAACGATCGACGATCGCGACGAGGTGAGACATATATAGCGCGTATAGACGCGTTATGCATCCTTTGACCCATTGCAGTCATTGCTGGTCATCGACTTCGGGCAAGCCGACTTCATCAAAGTGCTGGAGTTCGCGCTTCAGTACGGTAGACCGGTTCTCCTGGAAAATATCGGCCAAGTACTCGATCCGACGTTGAGCCCGATTCTCGATCGAGCCTTCGTAAAAGTGGGTACGTACGCGTCGAGGAAACAACGGAGCATGGGCCAAGGCCGAAAGGGTCGGGAGAACTGGGAACTGGATTCTGATTTGAGATGGTCTTCGTTTAGGCGACCAAACGATGATTAAGTTTAACGAAAAGACGATCACCTACAACGACAAGTTTCGATTGTTCATGACGACGAAGCTCGCGAATCCTCATTATGCTCCGGAGATATCGACTAAAACGACTTTATGCAATTTCGCCATCAAGGAACAGGGTAACGTAGAATCGCGACACGTTCGTTCGAACGCCAGTTCAGATCTTTTAAGAAGTATCATGAAACGAGTAAATGGAAACGAAACGATTGTTTCGTACATAGGATTGGAGGATCAGCTGTTGGGAATCGTGGTTCGAAAAGAGAAACCGCAGCTCGAGGAGCAAAAGGACAATCTGGTCTTCACGATCTCGTCAAACAAGCGAACTCTCAAGGAGCTCGAAGACAAAATACTTCAGTGAGTTCACGTGCGCGCGATATCAATCGAACGAATGACCGCGTGGATCGCGTTCCGGTCAACGCGATCTGTACGTGCATTGGTAACGAGCGTGTACAGTTCGTAGCTCGAATCACGATTGTAGCGATTCGTTTAATGTCTGGTATAGTTTACTGAACGTAGCCGGTGACACTCTGCTGGACGACTTGGATCTGCTGAGCGCTCTACAATCGTCGAAGGCGACGTCGATCTCGATCGAGGAATCGTTGGTGGTGTCCGTGGAAACAGAGAAACAGATCGATCTCGCGCGAGAGGAGTACAGACCGTGCGCGCATCGAGCCGCGATCCTCTTTTTCGTCCTGAACGACACGAGCCTAATCGATCCTATGTACCAGTTCGCTCTGGACGCGTACGTCACGCTGTTTATGCAGTCGATCGATAAGAGCTCGAAGAGTTTAAAGCTTGCTGAGAGGATCGAAAGCCTGAACGAGTACCATACTTACGCTCTGTACAAGTACGCTCGACGATCTACGATTCCGACGAAACGTTGACTTCAACAAATTCGTCTTTCGCGAACATAGGAACACTTGCCGCGGCCTTTTCGAGCATCACAAGCTGTTGTTCTCGTTCCACGTCTGCATGAAGATCCTGGATCACCAGGGCAAAGTGATCCCTAATGAGTACGCGTTCCTTCTTCGCGGTGGAATCGTTTTGGACAGAGAGAATCAGCCGGACAACCCCGTAGCCTGGCTGCCGGACGAGACGTGGGACAACATAACGGAGTTGGACAAATTGCCTGGATTCCACGGAATCGTCTCTTCGTTCGAGCAGTTTCCGCGAGATTGGCACAATTGGTGGGTGTCGATTACCACGTCTCTATGTACATATTCGCTTCGAACTTTCGTCTCACTTTCACTCGGGGAATAAAAAGTGTAAACGATTCGAAAGATCGGAAGCGAGTCGATTGGCGATGAGCCGAGCGTAAACGGATCGAACGTCCGTCGAACAGGTACGTCAACACGGAACCGGAGAACGCACCGCTGGTGGCGGAGTGGGAAACGAACTGCAACGTGTTCCAAAAGATGCTGGTGATACGTAGCTGTCGCCCGGACAGGATCTCCTTCTGTATCGCCAATTTCATCGTGCTGAACCTCGGTCAAAGGTTCACCGAGCCGCCGGTGCTCGACTTGAAAGCCGTGCTCGACGATTCCGTTCCCCAGACACCGCTCGTATTCGTTCTCTCGCCCGGCGTCGATCCTACCAGTACCCTTATGCAGCTCGTCGACAGTCAAGAAATGACCAATCACTTCATGACTCTGTCTCTGGGTCAGGGACAGGCGCCGATCGCTACCAGGTTTGATTCCGCGATTCGATTCGATCTGATACGCGCTATGCCAGGCCAGTTCGACGTTTGTTCGTTCACTCGTTTAGAATGATAGAAGTGGGTGCGAAGGAGGGTGCCTGGGTGTTCCTGGCGAATTGTCATCTGTCCCTCAGTTGGATGCCGAAGCTGGACAAGATCGTAGAAACGTTGGGTGCCAGCAAGAGCATACATCCTCAATTCAGGTGGGCAGCGATTTACCTCTCACCCCTGCGACGTATTGGATCGTTCGATGTTCCATGTCACGTTATTTGTCGATCGTAGGTTGTGGCTCAGCTCGAGCCCGACTCCCCAATTCCCGATATCGATCCTCCAGGCGGGGATAAAGATGACCACGGAACCGCCGAAAGGTTTGAGAGCGAACATGAAGCGACTCTACAGCCTAATAACCGAGAACCAGTTCGAAGCGTGCCACGCCAAGTCGAAATACAAGAAACTTCTGTTCGCTCTCGTCTTCTTTCACGCGGTGCTGCTAGAACGTAAAAAGTTCCAACAGTTGGGTTGGAACGTAATCTACAGTTTCAACGATGCAGATTTTGTGGTAACGACTCGCTAGCGTTCGGATCATCAGCTACTCGACTCCTCCACCCATTTTCCCTTCCTGTTCAACAGGTGTCAGAGAACCTTTTACAAGTCTATCTGGACGAATATCCGGTGACTCCGTGGGAGTCCCTTAAATACTTGATAGCGGGCGTCTGTTATGGCGGACACGTGACCGACGATTGGGATCGACGTTTACTAATGACCTACGTTCAACACTATTTCACCGACGAGGCCTTGACTGTGCCTCAGTACCGTTTATCGTCGCTACCGACTTATTACATCCCGCGGGATGGTTCCCTGGCATCGTATCACGATTTCATCGCAGTATTACCGAACGTCGACAAACCGGAAGCGTTTGGTCAACACCCGAACGCGGACATCACCTGCCTGATCATGGAGACGAGAAACATGTTCGAAACGTTAATGAGCCTTCAAGTTCAAGCCGTTGCCAGGGAAGAAATCGGGAAAGAGGAAAAGGTATACGACGATTAAAATTTCAAATGATAAAAAGTGAGATGAACTCTGACCGACTCGCTCGAAACGATACGTGCTCCTCGTCCACGCCTTTTAGTTCAGCTTCGTTCCGTTTCGTTTCCAGGTGATTCAATTGACTATGGACCTCCTGTCGAAAATACCAGACGACATCGATTACGAGACCACGCAAAAACTGATAGGACCGAAGAAAATGCCATTGGACGTGGTGTTGCTACAGGAGATCCAACGGTACAACGTTCTACTGTCCGGCACACGCGGCAGCCTGAGGGACCTCCAGTTAGCGATCCAAGGTCTCGTCCTGATGTCCCCCGATCTCGAGGAGATCTTCAACTGCATTCACGAGGGACGGGTTCCCGCCGCTTGGCTGACGGCTTATCCGTCGTTGAAATTATTGGGTGCTTGGACGAGGGATCTGGTGAATCGCGTCGATCATTTCGCGGAATGGGCTCGATCGACTCACCCACCGTTGCTCTTCTGGTTGGCCGCGTATACCTTCCCGACCGGATTCCTCACCGCCGTGCTACAAACCTCCGCGAGATTATGGAACGTGTCCATCGATTCCCTGTCCTGGGAATTCACAGTTTTTACCATCGACGAATCCGCCATTATCGAGCCACCAGTGGTAATCGTTTTACCTTCCTATCCTATCTCAGATCCAAGCCGGTCCTCCTCATGTTCCTTCGTGTCTCTTGGCTGCTCTTTAAACATTTTTGCGTTACCCTTGCTGCGTACCGATGCACAATGCGAAAATGCATTTACGTAGATTATATGCGTGTCGTGCAGGACGGAGTGTACGTACGGTCCGTCTACTTGGAAGGCGCCGGTTGGGACAAGAAGAACAGCGTCCTCGTCGAGCCGGCACCGATGGAACTCGTTTGCAACATGCCAGTGATTCATTTCCGGCCCGCGGAACAGTTCAAAAAGAGGACCAGAGGTAACAGCCTCGTCGATGGATAGACGGTACGATGACTCTATTGTTATTGCACGCGCAGGTCTCTACACTTGTCCCTGTTATTATTATCCACAAAGAAGCGGGGATCAGGGACGACCGTCGTTCGTCGTCGCGGTCGATCTGAACTCGGGTCCCCAGGGTTCGGATTTCTGGACGAAAAGAGGCACCGCCCTGTTACTGAGTCTCTCCACATAGATCTACGTACGCATACAAGCCCGTTATTGTTCTTATCGTTATTTACTTGCTCGTTCAGTGATCAGACTCGATTAGTATTTTATTATTTTCGATTAACATGTAAAAGGTAAGAGTTCGTTATAAACAGCGTAGCGTATATACAATACATAAAATAAAGATGTAGCAAACGACATCGTTTCAAACCGGACGAAGTCGGATACTCGATGCCAGCTCGTTGGCGAACGCGTCGTGAGCAGCTACCGCTAGAAGACAAACGATTGGCAGAACAGTGAACATTTCAGGATAGCTTCGGGACGACGATGATGCCGGTTCGTCGACTCCCATCTTCAACGTTTCGCGTTTTGCGCTGCTGAGTTTGACAGCTCTCAGAGCTGCCGAAATCGTTTCGTTCATTCTCTTGGCATACGGAGTCCACTCTGCCGGGTCGAGATCCGCCGGTTGTTCGAGCCCGACGAGCTCGTCCCTGGCTCGGAACAGGATCCGTAACGTGTTCCCGGCAGCTACTTGATCCTCGTTCTTCAGATCATCGAGCATATTCTGAACCGTGGAGTTCAGCTGCGTTCGAAAACCGATCCAATCAGCCGCGGTTTTATTGGCATAAGCGCTCGCGATTAAACTTCTCAAAGACGACAGCTCGTTGCTTAGATCGATAAAAGACTCATTGAACGTCCGACGCGCCTCGTCGAAATCAAATTTGCCTGTAGCATTCGCGCGATTCAAGATGTTCGTCACGGTGTCGTTGATCTGTTTCTTAAAATTGATCCATTCGTCCGGAGGAATGATAGGAGGGATATATTTCGAGTAATCGAACTTCGCTGAATTCTCAGCTTTTTTTGACGCGGCTGCCCGTAGAATCGGTTTTGTCGTCGTCCCTCCCATTTTCGCTAGCCATTCCGCTCTGATTTTCGCGATTTCGTCCTTTAATTTCGCAAAATCGTTCGCGGTGGAGTACTGGAAAGCGTACCAAGCTGCAGGATCGATGCTCGTCGTCGCCGGTTTCTTCTGCTCGATATCTCCGACAGTTTTCACCAAGAACTCATTGATTTGAGCTCGGAAGTTCAACCAATCGCTGGTCAAGTTTGACAACTGCGAGTCAGCAAAATTTCCTCCTGCTGCCATTTCGACAGGAATCTCCGTAGTGGGTCTTTCAGCATTTACTTTATCCCTGAAAGCGGAGAAACGATCCTTGATGTCATCTCCGAAAGTGGCCCAAGCTGGATCACCCGGGGGAGGCATGTTTCCGCCTATATTAGAGATCGCGTCGTCCAAAGAGGATATAACGTTGTCTTTAAAGTTCTTCCAGTCGAAGATCGCTGATATCGGAGTGGTCGCATCCATTGATTCCATTCGATCGACCTTCATGGCCTTCAGTTTCGGAACGACGTCCGCCTTCGCGGAGGCTATCTGATTCTTGAGATCCGCGAATCGATCCACGATGTCACGCTTAAAAGCGATCCAGTCGCCTGCTGTTGCGGCTGGTCCACCGCCGCTGCCGCCTCCCAATATAGATTCAATAGAATCGTTAAGCGACTTCATCAGATCGCTTCGAAACGCGAGCCAATCCTGGTAGACGGTCTTCGCCGGTGGCTCGGTCGCTCTCAAGATAAAACTATCTTTATCGTAGGTCATGGACGTCTTCTCTATCGGTGTCGCCGGTGGATGTAAACCAGAAAGTTGATTTCTGAGATCGGAAAACGTATTGTTTATATAATCCTTGAAGGCCAACCAGTCCGTGTCCAGCGTGGCCGTCGATCGAGTGCCGTTTATATAATCAACGATGTTTTTAATCGTCTCGTTGATGTTACTCTTAAACGCGGTCCAGTTCACCGGGGCGAAAGGTGCTCGCAATTTAGGCACGACATCGTCTTTCCACGGTTCGAAGGACGGCGCGGGGATATCCTCGCAGGGCATCACGGGATTGTCCGGACCGATCGTTCTCATCACTTCGGCCTGCGTTTGCGTTATCCCCTTGGAACAGTCGCAGATCAATCTCGCCAGCGACGATTTACGTAATTCCACGAGCTGCTCTGAAAAATGGAAACAAGACAAGTGGAAAACGATCGATGAACGACGAGATCTATAAATAGCGGCGGCGAGTAAGTCACGTAACGCGTAATGCGTAACGCGTAAAATAGCACGATTCGACTGATCGAATCTTACCTTCGGTGAATGAATGCGGTTGACCGGATAACTCGTACCAAAATCTATCGCCCTTCTGTAATCGAACGAACTGATCGGCGATCAGACAGGAGAACGTCGGTCCGACTATACCACCGGACGCGTCCGGCAACTCGGCCAAGGCTCCAGTGTACAAGTCGACGTCGTGGACAGACGAGTACAGCGACGAGATATCCTGTAACGTCTGCGGATCCAGATATCCCGCCAAATCGGAAAAGGTTTCGACCTTTCCGAGCCCGCAATACTCCCTCCATTTGGTGTAACCGGGAAGACCGTGGTCCCTTCCGCGTTGAATGTTCAGCGACACGAGGTCCAGGCCACAGGGGATCGTGACGTTCCCGACGGGATCCTCGAAAAGATGATTCGTTAACTGAGAAGTGACGTGAGCGGACGTCATCTGTATCGTGTTTCCGGTTGCGGAGGCGATCGAATCCCGGACTCCGGTCTCTCCATACAACATATACGGGTTGAACAGCATTCTGTGCAGCTCGACGTAAGACGTGGTTCCTTTCTGCTCGTCGGTCATCTTCATTAAACCTGGTAGCAGAGTGTGAGCGAATCTGAAGGCAGCAGCCGCGAACTCATTCGCTATGCTCGGATCGTTCTTCGGATCCTCGATCCATTGCCTGTAACCGGTCGGGAGGGGTCGCAGATCGCGTAAATTCGTTTCTCGATCCCCTAAGACGACGGGCAGGAACTCCCGGTAGGTGATGTGTTGCAATTGAGCGCCGACCACGCGTCGAGCCTCTTCGTACAAGGTCTGATCGTCCCAGAAAGGGTTGATCTCGGCCAGTTGCTCGACGATTCGGTTGTGCTGCCGCGCCCAGAGCAGATGCATCGTCGTCAGGTGGAGATTCTCGTTGGCTCGAGCGTCACCAGCCGAAAAACAGTATCTACCCCTCGCTTTCTCGACATCCCGGTTGCAACCGTCGTTAGGATTCTTACTTGGCGGCAGCAAGCTTCGACCGTCCGGCGTCAGTTGCATCCTCAGACGGCCACCGACGAACTCGCGAAGATCTCGAGCCGTGCCCGCGTCGGATCCGTACACCGTCGACCCGTCGATGAACGCAGTTACCTGTCTCATCGAAAAACGCGAACGTCGAAGCAGGCGATTGCACGGATTCAGATCGGAAAATAGCGTAACGCTGTACCTGATTGAGTTGCTGTCTGGGTCCAAGCATGCATTGGGGAGCCGGTGCCGATCGGACGAACTCCATGCAAGTTCTGCCGGTGACGTCGAAAACGGGGTCGCCGGAAGAAATGGGAACCGGGAAACACTCGGGATGACCGACGGACGGTGGACAGCAGGAGATCGAGGTTCCATTTATTCCTTGACTGATCGCCGTCGCGGTGATGTCGTGATCCAGAAACTGACCGTACACCGCGAGCATCACCGTGAAACGGGGATTGCTGCTCGGCGAAGGTTTGTGAACCTTCAGGCTGATTTCCCTCGCGGAAGGTAACTCGACACCCAAAACCGATCGACGCGGAACTTGAACACCGTCCGCGTAATCCGGTGGCAACGATCTTCTGAACGGTGTCATAGCGGCTCCCAGTTGCATAGGCCTGTTGCAACTCCCGTCGAAAGTTCTATATTTATTTGTGGGACATTCTGGTGCGCTTCGATGTTTGCAAACGCCCAGAGATCCCCAGCCGCCATCGAAGAAGCTGCCGAACGCGGAAGCCTCGCCCAGGGCAGTTCTCGCGGATTCTATCTTTTTGGTGGCCGCGAGTTCGGCTGTGGCTGCCAGAGCCAGCGCACCGACGCTGACGCAGGTGCTCACCGCGTACCGATGCCTGAGCTCCGGCGACGAGGGCGGAAGCGGCGAGATCAACGCGGCTGTGTCTGCAAAGACGCGCGCGTCCATCGCTCGTCGGCCCGCTTCCAGAGCCTCTTCCGTCTCGTCCTCCGTCAATTCCGCGTTCGCGGACGACGGAAAGGTATTACCGGGAGCGCGTACGACGCCGTTCCCATTACTGAAAGAAGTGTACGAACCGGATCCGGGAGCGAAGCCTAGTCGAAGCATAGTCAGATTCGCGGCACCGACGTCCGTGCCGGTGCTGTTCCTGTTGGTGAGACTCGGTTCGAGGTCCGCGATGTCGTGACTCACGGAGTAACTCACTGTCACTATCAGAGCCATGGTGAAGATCGCTCTGCAACAACGAATCGATTCATCCCTGACGTTATTCGTGATTCAGGTTCGTTCATCGTTTCGTACATATCGTGCATCTACGCGTTTACCGAACGCCACCGTAAAAGTCGGCTCATACGCGATCAAGGTCGGTATCACGTAACGAGTAACGCGTAACGAAGATCGATCCTACCTGCGTCTCGTTAGACGTAAACGGACATACGTACTTACTATTGAAAATGAAAAAAATGCGTTCGATCGCGCGTAGAAAATCGTGAAAGACGGCAAAAAAGAAGATAAGATCGAAGAGAAGAGACTCACACGGCGAGCGTGTACCCGAGACATCGCAGTCGCGTACGACGACTCCTTCGATGAGAATGAAATGGCACCGAATCGTGCACGTAGTAAGCCGGGGCTGGCTTGTCGACGTCGCTGGTCAACGCGGTCGTCTCCGAAGAAGACATCGCGTAATGGAAGAACGAAGCGTACTCGTAATGCACTCACGGCGTTCTCGGTTATAGGTAAGTATTGCGCCGCGCGACTCCCCGAGCTAAGCCGCAACCGCAGCGTAAAACGGGTTCGCATTTCTCGCCGCCCCGCGCCACGGTACGACGACGGCAATCGAGGTGACCGATGATTTTTACGTAATTGAGTATCCGCTCACGGTGGGGGCTCGATGCGGAATCGTCGGTTCCATTTCTTTTGACGGACCACGGCGATGTGTCCGAGTATCGAAAGCGACGGTGACGGCGACGTTTGTTTCAGGCACGACTTCTCGATCTGCCGTTAAGCCGCCTAAACGAGGACGAATCGGCAGATCGGCACCGACCAGCTGCGAATCTCGTCTTAAGTTACGTTCAAGGTATTACGTATGCACGCGTGCATGTTAGGCGTTAAATACGATGTACGTGAATCGCGACAATGATAAATAATAACGGTGACCTAAAATACGGTATAAAATACATTGTACGAAACCCTCGCGGAAGATAGACGGATCGATGCTTGGATAGAAATTGAGAGGGAAGGGAAAGAGGAACGGTAACGGAATCCGATTACTTACATCAATATGGCGCAGATGCAGCATTGAAACTGTCGAATTCGGGTCTTCCGTGTCCTCAGGAGGCCCGCGAATTCCACGTAATCCGGTGAATCGAGCGGTCTAGCCAGCGAAGTCCTCTCGTCGATGCTAGTATCCGCGTACTGCTGATACATGGTGCAGACTGGACGTTGCACGTTCGACCGGCAATACCTCACTGCACCGCCCCCGATGCGTATAGAAAAGAGACCGCAGACCAGAGGGATTACGATGCATCTACTTGTTGTCGATCGGTGATCGAACGCGAACGAAACTGGATCAGACACTGGACCGTCTTGAACGAGGTGACGCGACGAGTCGTTGTCTTCGCCGTGTCACGAATGTATGTATAGGAATATCCGGTCGCGTTTCACGGCTTGGTCACGGTGTCCGGTCTTCTCGGGTGAAAACCTTTCGAATCATCGCGCAAAGTTCTCAGTCTTGCAGTTCTGCAGTTTCGCAAACGCTTCGGGTCCGGCTGTTTGAAAATCTTAACGAATATGCGCTACGCCAATTCTACGGTATCTCGCTTTATATCCATCAGTCAGGTAGATTAAAAATAGGCAGAAAATGTTTGATACGAGGATCAAGCAGTGAGTTTCGACGTGTTCTACGGCTACAATTGCATCGACGAAGAACTCGTCGCATACGTGAACATACGGCTTCCTCTTGGACTCCTATCGCCGGTTGACAGGCTTCGCTCCGGCGAAACCCGAAACGAGACCTGAATCTTTTCTCCATTATTCCGTACAGCAAAAATTGAACTTCTTCGAGGCACGAAGCTCCAACCACTGCTCCTGGTTAGGGACGTACATTTCCGCTGGCATGCGTTCCAATCCTGGTGATTCGGGCGAGCCCCGTTCGTTCGTTCTCCTAGCTGACAGAGGATTACTTGCGTAGGTGAAGGTAAACGTAGACGGACCGTAAACGTTTCGTTCTATACATATACTATCACAGAGGAGATGCTATTAAGGATGTATCGGCTATACAGTCAGTCCCAAACGTTTAGTATCTCTTGGAAAAATCTCGGAAGAATTGAAAATTCTTTTTGCTCAAAATATAGAAAAATACTTCAAATGAAAGTTGTTTTACTCCTAACTTCGATATTTAATGCGTTACATATGATTATATGGCATTTTATTGATGTCGACAAAATCCGACCATTCCATCGTCGAAACAGCCAACTTTTGACAAAAAATTTCGTTTTTCCTCAATAACTCCTAAACCGTTGGTCGTACGGGAAAATTGTATAAGATCTTTCTTGTAGAGGACGACGAGATCTACAATTTCCATGTAAAAATTTTTTGCTAGCATTAATACTTAACGAGTAATTTACGAAAAACGAAAAAACAGTTTTTTGCAAATTACTCGTTAACTATTGACGCTAGCGAAAAA